ACCAGGCATCTCAAATTTTAAAGCATCGAAATTATTTCAGTATAATTATTAAACTGAGTTTGTCATCTGGGCCTAAAATGKGATGCGGATTACGGATTTATAGAAAAAATAGAGCGGATTGCCGGATTCTTAACGTACCGGATCACGGATTTAATGAAAATTTAACGTCGGATTTCGGATTCTATAATAGCGATAATCGTGGCTGCGAATTTTACCGATTGCAGACTCAAAAAAATCACGTAAGAAGTCCCTAAGAGGCTTTGCGTTGTGTAGAAACAACTTCTCCGAGCTTATTATGGCAAATATGGCGTAAGAGGGTCTTGAATAAGCAGGAATTTATGATTTTCTTATTATCGAATGCTATCATGATTTGGAATTTGGATTACAGTAAAGCAAACTTTTGCGCGGATCGGCGGATTTTTGTAAAGAAATGAGGGGATCGGCGGATTCGGAGACCCCTTTCGCACCCCTCATGAATCGTCGAAGGACTGAAACGGAAATGCATTCAAAGTTTTTGTCTAGTGCCAGAGAGGCCAAAATGTTCATCAATAAATATAACCTTTCATTTCCAATTGTTTTACTATAAGAAAGCTTATTTGTGGTGATAAGCATCAGAAACATTTTGGTTTTTCCGGGGCAATCCAACGAAGTCTTCGTGCGTCCCGGAATGCGACGTTTCTCTAGCGAAATGGATTGTGGGTAAGTCGTGAAGAGCCTCGCATTGATGCTATGTGCACGCCAGTCGGTAGCCATGTTGAATGAATCATTATGACTTGGTGAAAATTTGCCGGTTTTAAAATGCTTTAACAACCTACTGTATGCCTTGCTGGGACCAAAAGATATTCATTTAAGAATATAATTATATATTTTGTTACGGAACAGCAGGAAAATTGAAAAGGTTTCAGGAAAACTTACTTGGAAAGCTCGCAAACTCTCTTCTTTGGCTACGTACGTTGATCATTCGCCATACAATTTCTTCTGAGATTGTACTCAACGAAAAAACTATCCTACTTCAATTCATCTAAAGATTTTCTCCAGAATGCACCGTTATTTAGTTACAAAGACATCTAGTGGAGTATTAAGAGGCTTGTGAAGATGAAAATCGACAGAAGCAAGATAAGAAAAAGCCATTCACAACCTGTGAGTAGCAAAACCTCCTCGCTATGCAAGTAACATATAAAGCTTCAAACAAGAATGAAACACTTATTTTGAAGTAGCTTGAAACGAGAGCATATAGCCATTTAACTTAAAGTCTATTCTAAGCGTTTTTTAACTGTTATTTTATTTATTTAATTGCCCAAGGCACCAGAATGTGAACGCTTGATACGAAGGCTTACAGAAGCCAAAGATGGAGACCTGGTTAACGTTTTAAAATCTGTGGACACGTGGTTTTATGGAAAGGTAGGACACACTTTTCTAACTCTTAATAGCAACATACAATCTGTGCAAAGCAATCAATTTAAAAGTACTTAGATTTGCGCTGCACTCGTTTTTATCTAGAAGTAAAAATTGCTTCATCGGTAAAGAAAGGGCATAATAAGCTAGTTAACTTGTGAAAACTTCAAATCACTGCTGGTAAAATGCTACTTGACATTAATAAGGTGCCAGGGTATTGTTCTATATAACTTAAACAATTATGTGAATCTGTCAAGTTTGACATGAATGATCTTGACTGCAAATACAATCTTATCCATTTCACAAAATGAAGTTATGTACATTTTTGAATTTTGTACATAAAAATCCAGTTCAGTCTTTAAACAAAGCACTTATTGTTCATGGAATTTTAAATATTATCTGACTGTGATATATTTTCATGTATCCATTGGCTTAAAGCGAGGAACCTTATGTTTAATTGATTTTTAGTAAATCCATACATTTTATTTGCTTTCACTATTTTGCACTTTCGTACATTCATAATTGTTTACAATTCGTCTAATAAATATTGAATGGTTTTCCACACTGAGTGCTCAACTTCCATTAGACTATTATATTTTGCCAGCACTAAAACTATCAAATAGAGATAAAAACTATGGCAAACCCATTTTTTAACTTGGAAAAGATGTCCATTCTCGCAAAGGTTTGGTCAGTCGAGCTAAAATCTTGAGCAGAAATTGTTTTTTGTCCAGCTCTTATGATCTTGCACTGTTATGCCTTTTATCAGCAAAAGTTGTAACCTATGCTTGTAAACTGTTTCTTATCTTTAATATTTATTTGTTTTGATAATGTTTGATTAGTGGTACAAGCAAAATATGGTATTTTACTATTGTCATTGCGTTTTATGTTTCAAAATAATACATTTGGCGTCAGAAACAGGAAGTGAAAACTTATAGTCATTAAACCTTGGCTTCAGGCTTATCATCTGTGTATTGCATGATTTGACTTAATCAAAGCTAGCTCATCAGTATTTAACAATAAACATGTCGGAAGATGGAGATCACACAAGAGGACCAAAAACCACTGTTTCTCTTGCTTATTGAGGTTCAGTGTCTCTGAACTCTAAAATAAACAATGTCATTATCAGTGAGTGTATTGTTTACCTTGTATATCTAAGCAATACTAATTATTTTGATGATTGAAATAATTAGTATTTGATTTTTCATTCAGTGTGACCTTGGTCATTGGGCAGATGTTTTGGACAGATTTGACAATATCCTCGCAGACGTTGCCAAACCTGTGAATGGAAGTGCATGGATATTAACATACGATAAACTAGATGAACTGGAGGGACCAGAAGTTGCGGCAGAGAAACGGCAGCTTGTCAATCAAGTTCTACGCTTCACAGCTCTTCTTATAGAACATGCATACTCTCGACCGGCATATAACTCTGCTGAGCATCTCATTACCCTCTTGGGTGCTAGTGACATGGAAGTGGTCCTTTCTGTCTTGGGCCTGCTCTATGTTTTCAGTAAAAGATGTAGTTTTATCCCTAGACTTCCCACAGATAAGCGGAAGCCTCTTCAACAGCGACTTTTGCATATTGGGGAGAGCTGGGGAGGCAAGAATGGTGGATTCTCGCTGGCAGAGTGCTGTAAGAATAAAAGTTTGCAGGAATTTCCTGAAACTGCCGGAGATGTTCATTTTGAGTTTTACGTGCAAGAAGATAATCAGGTTGAAGATCATGTGGTATGTAATGCTATTTACCTAGTTTTTCGTTTTAAGCTCTTGCAAGCATTGAACATTATCAAGCATGTTTGGGCAGCCCAACAAAAAGCATAATTTGCAGCCAAACTCAAACTTTTAAAAATTCTAGTATAATTTCTAAGGTTTTTTCATTTTATTATCCAGGAACAAGACATAGAAAGCCAGATATGTGCAGTTCATGTTGAGAAAGTCTACCAGGTGAATAGAATTTATAGATGATGTGAAAAGCCAAAAACTATGTACTTTTACTGAGAGGCGCACTCATACAACAACTGAAAATGAATATCTGAAACGTTTGTGAATTTTTAAGTATTTTATGGTAAAATTTGGTTTGTATACATTCAAAATAGTTGAATTTTCCCTTTTGTTAGTTCTCAGAGAACCCAGGAGAAATTATGGAACAACTGATGGCATATTACAAAGTACCTAAAGACAAACAGGTTTGGATTGATTACATTATTTTTCTCCCTTCAGGTATGTCAGAATTATGCGTGGAGGCGGCCTCGCATAATTTCCCGCTTTCTGCGTAATTTACCAAATTGTGCATAATTCATGATTTTTTTCCATGTTATAACATTTTTTAAGACGAATTGCCTTCTACTAATGTTTTTTGTGGTCCATTGACTGTTTTTTTGATCAAAAAACGCTCCCAAACATGCTTACAATTTTCCGAATATAGTTTTGTGTTCGTGGGCTTCACAAATGTACCAGGCGTTCAAAATTTTCATCAGAAAAGAGTCTGGGCACTAGCATTACTGGTCACCCTGTGCCTTACCAGATCACGTGACGAATTCCAATATGGTGTATGATACAAGTGAGACGTATGTAAAGCACGTGCGATAACAAAGTCTAAAAAGATCTTTCCTCTGGTTGGCCTACTGCCTTCTATACTTCACAACTAAGATAAAAACAGAGTTTTGCATGAAAAACAAACACAATAACCTAAAAATATGTAAAATTTCCCAAAGTTTACATTCCTGTGATGACGTCAACCTGCATATTTTTTTGCATAATTTACCTTTTTCTTCGCATAATATGGAAAAAAAATTCAGCATAATTTTGATTTTTTTAGCGCATAATTCCAACATGTCTGTCCCTTATTTATTTGTATCTGTTATTTCCTTTATCATTAACTTATCATGATTGTTTACTGATGTCTGTATCACGTTATATTGAACCAAATGCATATATTATATATGGCATATGAAAATATTATTGGACACATTTTTTAGGTTGGTCTTTTTTCACGTGTAAGATTAGCAAGACACTTTCCTGTTTATGCAGAGAGATTACAATGTGTTCAGGCTCGACTTTGGGCCATCTCTGTTTTAGGTAAGCTTTGCAGCCATTTTTTGCAGCCTCTATTTATTAATATGCAAATAGAATTGCTGAATCTAATCTACCTGTTGTTTTGCTCTTATCGAGTGATCTTGCCAGAACTTCAAAATCATTTCAAAATTCCCTCAGAAACTTCAAAAATAGTAGTGTTAAAGTTTGTTTGGTTTTGAGAATGACATTTAACTTAATACTTTGTTTTGTTTATGCTATCAGTGTATTCCAATATTAGTCAGGACATACAAAAGTCTTTAATGTACCAAGGCTTTGAAGAGGAAGTAGTCGAGTTATTACAGCTTGAAGACCCTAAACTCTTGGTAAGAATCTGCTGTCCTTTGATTAATGTTATATTCAGGGATTTTGAAATTACGCGCTGGTGCGGACCCTCATAGTTGGCCATTCTCTGCCTAATCCCACATAATTTGTCAAAAATCAATAAGTTATCTATCTTTGTGCCTGGCTTGAGTATTTTTTTTCCTTTTCCACCGTCATACAAAAAGTACATGTACTAAACAACAACATTGATATGTTGCAACGCCATTTTGTTTTTATGAAATTCATTTAGTGAATTTTTTTATGAAAATTCATTTAGATGGGTAAACTGTGTATTGGCCCAGGTTCCAGCAATTATCGGTTTTCAAGATGGCGGACATTGACGACATTGCTTTCTTTCTTTTTTAGCTAGTTGATTTTATTAGAAAAGAGTCATTTATTAATAATGCGTAATATTTTTTAAAACATAAACAAAATAACTGAGTTTCTAAACTAAATTAGTTATTAGTTTTAAGGATGACGTCAACACGCATGATTTCGTGCATAAATCACGTTTTTTTCCGCATAATCATCCCTGAAAATCACTCATAATTTTGATTTTTGTGCACATAATGTCTGAATCCCTGTATTTCAATGTTTAATTAACCTGGAAAGCAATATTGTTTCACAAATGTTTCGTATATTAACATAGATAAAATCATTTAATTAATTGATATATGTAATAAAATCTTTTTATCATTACATAATATATTATTAATAGCGTGAAATAGGTTGCTAATTAGGTTTTTCATTATTGTTATTTGTATTTTCATGTTGACATATCTGACAGATATCTGACATATCTGTTTTCTGTTGTAGGACATAAAGACTGCTGGTATAAGACTGTTAACATCAGTAATTCACCTTCAGTTTAACCCAAGGTACAATAGATACTATAACATCCATATGACAGACCTGTCAATTAGCCATAGTTCAGTGCCTGGGTTGAGATCATCATTTAAAGTAATCAATTCTATTGTATTTGTTTTCCAGACTGAATACCATTGTTGACTGTGCTGGAATGTCGTCATACCATGGCTTTCTTCCTACTCTTATGAGAACTTGTATCCAAACCTTAACAGGTATGTCAACCTGCCTTGCTCTATGTAATATATAAAATATGAGCGGGAGACCTTTATGGGCATTTCAAACTGTGAGCTGCAAGCATGCAGTTTTATAGCCCATAAAGGTCGGACGCGAATATTTTATATTGCTTATCAAATTCCAACAAAAGCTAAAGCATATTTCGAAAAAAACTTCAAGATAAAATATCATTTGGATAAGAGAAAATCGAAGTTAAAGTCGTATGCAAATCAGGACAAATCTCTTGCTCATATATAGATGCGGTCACGGCAATGATTTTCCATTGTATTTGCCTTATGAATTATTAATGAATTTGATAACCTTATTTGAAGCACTGGGTATACTAGAGAGGGTTTAATAGCCATGAAATCCCCTAAGATGGACCCTTACTTACATGTACTGTAATCAAGGTTCATGCTATTCCTTGAAATCCTTGAAAAGTCCTGGATTTGAAAACGAGATGTTTTCAAGGGCCCTTGAAAATGGGAAAATCGCAAAAACTCGCCTGAAATCTTCTTGAATCTGATGAAATTGACAGGTTGATTTTTAGCTTGTGGATTGAAATGTGGCCTCTGGAAAATGTCCGCAAACATCAAAAAATATCTTCAAAAAATAATAGTCATTGAAAATCACATTTTTGGGCTATTTTTGAAAATTCCCTCTGGAAAATGTCCGCAAACATCAAAAAAAATCTTCAAAAATAATAGTCAAATTGAAAATTACATTTTTTGGAGCTATTTTTGAAAATTCCCTCAGGAAACTGTCTGCCACAATCAAAAAATATCTTCAAAAAATAATAGTCCTTGAAAATCACATTTTTGTGCTCAAAAAAGTACTTGAAAAGTCCTGGAATTTTGTAGTGAAAATGTAGCATGAACCCTGGGTAATAACCGTAGCATTGACGTAATGTTGTTAACTATCTTTCAGATCCATCCAGAACTCCATATCCCATGTCATTCTCCACAGCATTATTCTCATTTGTCTATCACTTTGCATGCTTTGAAGTGGGTAAGTCAGGTGTCGTGTGCTTCCTTATTGAGTGTACTTTATCAGGGTTTTAAAGTGTTTCCTTAAGCTTAACTTCACCCTTATAGTGTCGTCGTTTCTCTTCACAGGTAATGATGCCCTTGTCTCAAGTGGTCTTGTTGAGTCACTGCTAAGAGTGATCGAGTATTCTGGTGACGATGAACACTTGACAGTGAGTCGGAAACTTTTTCTTTAGAAGCATTTAGCCAGCTACATTGTCGGATTTCAAGCTGAGTGGGGACTGGGCAAATCCCCTAATTGGATAATCATTTAAGGCTTACATAGAAAGAAATTAGGGGATTTTGTCCAGTCCTCACTCGGCTTGAAATCGAGCAATGATAAATAGTCAGTAATCCACTAGAGTACAACCACTAAAAGTATGCAACACATTGCACTATTTACTACAAAATAGTGCTAATTAAACAATAGAATAATCATAATTTAGCAGTATTTAGTGGTATTTATGTTGCACAGTGTTTGTACTCTTCTATGAAAACTATTGACTCAGGCTGAGAAATACTGATCTTCGAGCATATGTTGAAAGTGTGACTTTTGACAGACAATGGGAAATAACAAAGAAAGACAGGCTGTACAGAAAAAACCCTCAAAGATTTCTAGTATAAGAATAGACTTTGTTTAACATAATCCTTCAGTTCTTTCTTACTCAATGACAAGCTTCGTTTTGACTGCAGCAATTGTGCACACTTACAGTAGAAATGGGTGTATAGTGACTTCATTGTTCAAAGGAAATAGTTGGGATTTAGGTTTTTCTGTGACTTGGTGGCGGAGCTTGATACTAATCAGCCAATGATTGAGCGAGTTTTCAAAAAGCTCCGCCCCTCAGATTGAAAGAAAGAACAAAATCCAGACAAACTTCAAAATAAAGAGGTTACGATGCAGCGATTTCTGATGTAAATTGCTACTTGCTTGTTCTCATCCAATATATAAAAATGTTACACGCATTGTAGGTATCTCCAGAGCATATCATTTTTATTGTGTTCCTGGTCGTTAAACCAATGCAACAGTAAACTGTCTGTTGTTCAGCATCGTTGGGTGTGGCTCCCTCTCAGGACCACACCCTGGACATTCAGATACATGTATAGGTTTTGTCTCAGCCGAGTAGGGCTGTCGAGTTATCAGTTTGTTCATTCCTCTGTGCTTGATATTAGTTTGTTACAAGAAGTGTTAGAATCATGGACTGGATTGGAAATACCGATACGTCAGGATATCAGAATGGATTGACAGCTGTCATTAATCGTCTTGAGGTAATAAAGTTTGATATGCATGTATGAATTATGCTTTTAGTATTCTTATGCACACATACTATTATATTAGTATTTTAATATATACAGCCTTTTGCACAAATTATGAGACATTTTTATATATATAAATATACCTAACCAAATATCAAAAACACCCAAGAAATTATGGTATATCTCTATTATATTTTGTCATGATTGCCTAGCATCAGGTTGTTACAGACWAAATATCAGCVACGGTATCCCATAATTTCTTGGGTGTTTTTGATATTTGGTTAGGTATATTTATATATATAAAAATGTCTCATAATTTGTGCAAAAGGCTGTATTTATTCATCATTGATATATATCTTTTATCTTAAGAAATAAAGATAATTGTTAAACTATAAATTCACTATTTTTCATTTGTTAGCATGAAGTCAAAATCTGCATGCAGTACCATGGTGGGATCCTCTCTCCAGACCTACCACAAGGCACTGGTAACCAAGACAACCCTGTTACTATGGAAACCAATGAAAGTTCACCCCCTCCCCCACCAAGTCAAGAGCCCGCTAAGAGCACCCCAATGGAAACAGAACAGGCTGGTCCAAGTGGAATTGAAGGAGATGGAAATAAAATGGAAGTGGATGAAAGCGCTGCAGCCACTCGTCTCAATCCCACTTCTCTTCAGGTTACACAACAGAGATGTTTGCCTCAAAGAGCAGCGTTGATCAAAGCATTGTTGAGCTTCTTGAAGAAAGCTATCCCAGATCCTGCTTTCTCAGAAACAATAAGGAATAGTAAGTACTGTAGAATTGTTCAGTATGTTTAGCGCATTGTTCAGTTTAGTTAAGCGCTGACCTGTCACCTCTGTGGACCCTGTTCGAATGTTGGTTGGGACGGATGTGATTTGAGTATCTTCTGTTCTCTCCCTTACTTCAAGAGTTTTTCCGTGTCTTTTCCGGTTTTTCTTCCCTCAGTAGAAATGAACCATTCTATCTGCTGTAATCTGTGTTCAGTTGATGTTGCTATGTTAAGAAAGCGCCTAGCCAGCAGCGCGCCTATGTGTAAGTGTATGTAAAATGTGTCTGTAATATAGCACTTCGACTTGAGAACGTGTCGACCTGCATCTTTCGCAATTCAGCATCCCTGCTGCCATGAAGGATGATTAGCACCCGTGTATTTCCCTTTTCCTTTCCTTTTCCTTGTTAGAGAAAATGATTTTTTAAGGAACTATTTCCATTTTTGTTTTTGTTTTTTAGTCATGGATGGATCATTACCAACATCCCTCAAATATATCATCAGTAATGTGGAATACTATGGCCCTGTGCTCTTCCTTGGAGGTATTTGATGTGATTAACATAGCTCCTTATGATAGAGAGGTTTAGCATGATATTCACGGCAAACGCCAAACGGCAGAAAAGATCACATGACCTGCTTCTTTTGAGTTTAACGTTGCAGTTTCAACGCGAGAACGGGTTATTTTGAGGTTGCCATAATCGTGAAAAGCTGCTCTTTCAAATGACTACCAAAAGCACATGGTCGGGCACGGAATTCTTAGGTCATTGGTTCAGCTCTGCTGTTAGCCGTTTGCCGTCAACGTGATGCTAAAACTCTCTAATAGCATCATTAAACTGCCTGCTGTAATGCTTATGCTATTGTTTTGTTTCAGCTATTGATACTGTAACTGTCTATGTATTCCATGAACCGTCTTTGCTGTCTTCATTACAAGATAATGGATTAACGGGTGTGGTAATGAAATCACTTGTTCTCAAGGATGTAAGTTGTTTGTATGGAATTCTTTCTGAAAGCTCCACTAGARACATTGCTGATATGCTGATATTTAACTCATAGGTTGTGTTAGCAATCAAAGAGTTATTGGTGATGGACAATTTGTCACTCCCTCACTCACTTTCCTGTGAGCCCTCCATGACTATAGTTTGACCTTTTAGCATCCTTTTTTCATACATATATTTTTATACCACAAGCATAGCTGCCTGCGTCTTCCTGAATAAATCCCTGAATCTCAAGGGCTTGAGATTAACTTTAAATGCCTTATATACTTACTTTGAATTCTTATTATAGATCCCTGCCATGAGAGAGGTGCTGTCATCGTTACCTAGTGTACTCAGTGCTCTGTGCTTGAATAACAGGGGTCTACAGGCCTTCATGGCATGCCAACCCTTTGATAAACTATTCAAAGTGATGTTGTCTCCTGAGTATCTTCCTGCAATGAGAAGGAAAAAAACAACTGAAGAATTAGGTATGCAAATTATTATATCAATAGTCTCCTTCACGGTTAGCTGCGCCATCTTGAAAGGTAGCCGTGCCTCTACATCGAAGTGAGACAACCGTTGAGCGTGCAATGATAGATACCTGTGAATAATTGTCTGTAGGTGTGAAAGAAGGTTTCTATCATTGCACACTCAACGGTTGTCTCGCTTCGATGCAAAGGCACGGCTACCTTTCAAGATGGCGCAGGTAACCGTGAAGAAGACTATTAATTAATCTGTAACTTTCTTCTTTTCCATTTCTGTCTTTATTTCCTTCGTTCTTCTCTCACATCAGTTCTTTCATTCATCTGTGTTTCCTTTATTTCATTCACATTTCTTTATCCCCTTTTCGTCCTTTATTCTTTTTTATTTACTTTGATCCATATCTCTTGTTCTTTTCTTAATTTCAAGACAATTTTTCTTGTTTTTTAGTAATTTATGCGACTTTTTTTAATTTCAGGGGAAACAGCATCAAATCTAGGTATAGCTATGGATGAGCTAATGAGACACCAACCCACCTTAAAAACCGATGCAATGAAAGCTGTCGTCAAATTATTGGAACAAGTGTGTGAACTAGGGCAGGACCCTAAGAACATTGGCTACAAGATAAGTGAAGTAAAAGAGGGGGATTTACAAGATGCTCAGACACAAGGCGGTGCATCAGGTCTTCCATCACAAGCAAGCGAAGAACCAATGACCGATGATGAGTTTGATGACGATGACAGATTCAGCTTTACAAGTGCTTCTTCGAAGATCTCACCTGAAGTTGAAAACAATAAAGACAAAGAGCTTACTAAGTAAGATATTTTATCTCGAAGAAGAAGAAAATGACAATTAAATATATTAGTAATACTTCTAATCACAAGAAATGATGCTTCAATCTCTTAAAATTAATAAGACAAATCTGCAATACAGTTTAATTAATTATTGATTAAGTTCTAATTAACTATATACTTTGTTGTCATATGTAGAAGCTCAGAAGAAGAAAAAAGGACTTATGTTCCTCTTGCAGATTACATCTTGAATGTGGTAAGTAGAAAAAGGAATTGAAAAGCTATGGCCAAAATTGCTTTGATAGTTAATGAAATCTTACCAGAAACCTATAAGGGACTTGAAACATGTAACGCCTCTACATTTCTTTAGTACCAAGCGTCTGAATATTCAAAGCTCATTAAAAATTTGAAAACCGACGTTATGACCATATTTTTAAAATTAAGGCCCATTCTTGTTGGCTCTCAGTAAATTTGATTGTTCCAGATAAGGAAATGAGATGCAAATTAGATTTGAATATTCCAACGGTTGGCATGGTGTTACACATTTCAAGTCCCTTATAGGTTTCCGATCTTACATGGTATACTAAGTTGTATTGTAACGTCACTGAATAAACCTTCATAGTCTATAAATGTTTCTTTGGTACATGCAGTATATGTTGACGTTATCAGTTCAAACTACTTCGCCTCATTTGTTGTTGTTTTATTTATAACTCTCACCATATTTCCAGGTCAAATTTGTAGATGCTATCCTAAGTAACAACTCTACTGATGACCATTGTAGAGAGTTTGTACGTCATAAAGGTCTTGTCCCTCTTCTTGGCATTCTTGGACTGCCTAATCTATCACTAGATTTCCCGTCATCACCGTCCTGTCAAGCAGTCTGCAGTGTTTCTAAGTCCTTACTGGTAAGATATCTGGAAATCTAGACATAATGACAATAAACTGTACAATGCTTAATGTGCCTTGTGAATTTAGATACTAGCCCATGAGCCACAAGTCCTCAAGCAAGGTATGCTACTGCTTAAAGAATCCCTGACCAAACTTCAAACTTCTGTCTACAACCCCTCTGAGAACACAGACTTGTCGATCTGCCATGAAGTGGTGTCTGTACCTAAACCTGACAAAGCCATGCACTCTCCACAACAAACTCCTGTACTGCATGCCGTCTGTGCTGTCCATGCCTATATTACTATGTTCCTCTATGTCTGTAGGTCAGGACAGGTGAGAAAGGTGAAGAGATTGTTTCTGTAATTTTTATTAGTAGCCTGTTTTTTGGAATTTATATTGCCCTGTCACGGGGAAATTGCTTTAAAACTGCAAGTTGTAAACATAAATTCCAAATTTGAAGCATGATAATAACAATTACATAGTTTGATCCTTGTGTGAAATAAACATTAGCATAACAGTAAGCACAAACATTGACATAATCTTAACAAAAACTATGGAAAATGATGTAACTGTATTCCCTTATACTGTCACATACAGTGCGTATGATAAGCATATCACTAATGAGCACAGGGGCGTCCACAAGGAACATGTGTTGCTCAAACACACAAAATGATATGCTAATGCTTATGCTAATGCTTATGCTAATGCCTATTGCTATGCCTATGTTTTTAAAGTTATTGAGACATGATGCAAACACTCTGCTAACTTTCTCGGAGCTTTCTTGGTTGATGTCAGCAGTGTGTCTTGCAATAGAGTACTCTGCGAACAGAGCTACTTTTCTCACCCGCCGAGAAGCGAGAGAAATTTTTTTTTCTCTCGCTTCTCGGCGGGTGAGAAAAGTAGCTCTGTTCGCAGAGTAGCAATAGAGCGGATTTCATATGACTGTACTTTCGCGCTGTGACCACACCGTGCAGTAGCGGTGATGTATTGTTAAATCTTTCTTTTGGAATCCTAGAAGGAGTGGTTCCGTGACCATACCGTGCTGTGTCCATGTTGTGATCTGTGCCGTTGCACAGTCATACGAAATCCGCTCTAATGCTTCCATTCACTTACCTCTCTATTTTCACATTCATTGTAGATGGATATCCGGACAATGTGTGTCAATCTGTGGGGATCAGAGCTTGGTTTGAACCTCTTATCTCAGTTAGGAGAGCTTTATATGTCACTTCTTTGGGAGACAACTGTATTGGAAACTGTTGTCAAAGAAGAACAAGACTTGATCAATGAGAACAAGGAATCAACTGATGAAAACTCTCCAGGTATATTATATTACATATTTTTATTATTATTGTATGAGGAAGTGGCTGATCCCATTAAAGAGTGCTCAATACACATAAAGTGTAGAGCTAGTTATATATATATGATATCAAAGAGGCAAGATTTTGCTAAATCCGAGTTTGAGTGTGTAGCACGAAACTCGGAGTTACAGCAAAATCTTGCCTCTTTGATATCATAATATATATTTTTATTATTAATAATGTAAACTGACAATAGAAACAAATACATGTTTTTTGTATAACAAATGTTATGTTTCCTTAACATTTACATATTTATAAAGAAGGAATAATTCTAACAAAATTGATTAATGTCTGTGTATTTTCATTAGGAACATCCTCAACTACTGACAGCAATGATGACCAAGAAACCCTCAAAACAGCCAAACCAGAAGATGATCAAAAGTCACCATTAATGCCCTCCCAGCGACGCATTGTCAAGCAGCTACTCCAGGTCACATCCAACGTCAGCAAGTGTTTATCAGAATTCTTTAGTGCTTTGCTGAAACTCAGTGTTGGTACAGCCCAACGTCAGCGTAGGACACCCCACAACATTGCCACTCCTGGTGCCCCATCGCTAAGTGCAAGGCTTGTCACTTCTCAGCTTTGTCAGATTCTGAAGAACGCTCTGTCTTGGAATGGTGCTGCTGCTGATAAGATCTCACCAGGACTAAGGTAGGTTATGCTGCCCTACTCCAGTATGGAGGGTTCGTACAGTCTTGAAAAGTCCTTGATTTTAGAGCTAGGTCCTTGAAAAGTCCTTAAATGCAATTTTTCCTTGAAAAGTCCTTGAATTTGGAGGAAAGGTCCTTGAAAATGATAATTTAGTCCTTGAATCAGTCTTGGTTGTTGTGAAGTAAGGTTTTAGAGATCAATTTTGCCAAGCTTTGAAGCAAATTGATAATATTTCAATCCTTTTGGCAATGTCTGTTGTACTATTGTGCAATATGACGGCAAAGAAATTAATAGAGATTGAGAAAAATATGTTCCAAGAGATAAAGTTCTTAAACAAAGTTGACTACAATGTTTTTATTGTTCTGTTTGGTAAGACGCCGGACTAGTAAGTTTATTAACTGTATCTTTCTCTTTGTAATTGGTGTCCTTGAAAATTGAAAATTAATCCTTAAAAAGTCCTTGAAAAGTCCTTGAATTTTATATGTAAAAATCTGTACGAACCCTGAGTATGGATTACAGCTTTTTTTTGTTGCTTTACATGTAGTGGTTTTAGAATGTCTCTTCCTTCACTTATTACATATATCCACAACCCTAATTTCTAATCTGTTTGCAAAAGACTTTCCTAGGTTTGTGATTAATTTCAATTTTTCTTGTTTGTAGACTTCACTTTTATGTCAACACCATCAATTTTGCTTCAAGACTGTTATTTGATGACAAGAAGTTCCCATACCACTTAATGCTACAGCAGTTCATGGTGTCTGGTGCTCTAAATAGTCTTTTTGAGTAAGTATAAGCAATAATGTACCACTATTATAAGGAATGGTTACTGTTTTATTGGTCAATAAGCCTTTTTCCAGTTCAATGTGAGCGACTGCTATTTAAGCACACAATAGACTCACTCGTGTAGAGAACAAAAGAAATCAGGAAGAAAAATGTTAGCATTACATGTACAATAGCTCTAAAATTTTGAATCTTCATCGCATTGAGGCTTAGACTGAGCAAGAGTTTGAACCATCTGGGAATACAGAATCGGGGAAAATGAAAATTTATAGGGCTATTGTAATAACAACATTTTTTTGTGTTTTCTTTTGTTTTTGGTAAAGGTCTCTGTGCATGAGAGACCGTTGTCATCTAAACCAGCGGTTGCTCGCTTTGAACGGGAAAAAGACGTATTGATGCTCTAAGAGCACTTAAACCTCTTAAGATAGTGTAGAGGCCTAAACAACAAATAAATCTATTTATCAAACTCAAACAAGAGAAATAATTATTTGGTTAAGATTGATTTGATTGTTTTGAACATACTAGGAAATTCAACTTTGTGCTCAGCCAAGGAGGAAAAGTTTCCTTGGAAAATGCTGCAGACCATCCTGATATTCCTGGTAGGTAATTTAACTAGAAACTATAAAAATAAGCACTTATTCTCTCAGCTTAAAACATGAGGCATTGCATTGCAACTTCTTTCTTCGCCTCTCAGGACACAGAAATTTTTTTTATAGATTTGAAAATAATCCCAACAATTTATTTTGAACTTCGAAATTGCTTTATTAGTAAAAATGCAAGATTTAGTGTTTTAAAGGGATATTTTTAGATTCCATTCTCTTAGTTTCTCAAATGTTTAGCTATTATTTGATTCATTTTTGTAGATGGAACAGAAGAGATGATAGATGCTTGGTTGGTGTTTGTAGAAAAGCTTGTCAATGCTAAAGCTGTACTAGAATCACCTCACAGTCTCCCTAATAATTCCACTACCGAGGGGTTTGTTCAATTCAAGCCAATCCAGTTTCTCATCAAAGCCCATAAGGTATATAGAGGATATTACACTGTGGTGCGAAGATATGAATTTTATTTTCAAGTGGTGAAAACAATATTTTACGAGTGAGCGCAGCGAACTAAAGTGACAAGTAGAAATGAGCAGGAAAGTTGTTTTTATTTGACGCGCATGTACATCCGTGACATTTTGGTGCATAACTTTTTCTTATTTTTTTCGGTCCGGTATCCTAGTCATTCACGCGCTGTGATTGGCTAGCGCGCGGTCCAGTTTTTTACGATCTGCCCGGTCCGACGGTATCCTGCAGCTAATCTGCGAGCAAAGTTGCATAAAATACAAATAAAAAAAATAAAAATGAAAACACTGCCCTCGGTCTTTTATGCACGGACCTTGCTGCGCTCGTTCCGTACTGTCAAGACCTCGGGCAGTGTTTTCCTATACGGACCGACCTATAGCCGGTAAATAACATATATATATCTTCGCTAGTGAAAATATGGAAAATACGAGTGTTTTAGTTTCCTGTAAAACACTATTAACCATTAATAAAGTGTCATATATCACTTATTTATGTATAAACCAACAATTTGGTGTCCTTGTTCTTCAGAGGGCCTTTGTCTCAGTGGGCTACCTGTGGGGGCGTAAACCATTCAAGGTTCACGGCTCCAAGATTGCTGAAACTATGCTGTCAATCTTCTGTCACATCCTGCAAGGAGAAAGCATCATTAACGAGAAGCAGGGTGCTGACGACAAGAAAGCTACTGCTGCTGCTGCTGCTACTTCCTCATCTTCAGCTGGTAATCAGAGTCAGGGGGGTACATTAGTGACCAGTAGAGCTGCCACACCCCCTCAACCCGAGGTCAATGAAAACAATGTTCAACAGGTATGTGTAATTTCTTTCACATGCAATAACATACATTGCAGTTCATTGTCAGGGCTCGAAATAACGGCCGTTCAAAGGACATTGTCCTTCCAAATTCGCAATTTGACCGGCCAAATCGGGTTTTGAAAGGACAAATTGACCTGCCACATTTTTAGACAAATCAATTCTCAATTTGCTAAAGAAATCTTTTACAATCCATTAAAATGCTTGCTGATCTTTCTGAATACAAAACCCTATAAATTAAAAGAAAATAATTATAGTATAATAAAGTTTTTGTCCTTTCAAAACTTGACATGACCTTCAAAAATGAATTTGGAAGGACATCTTGTCCTGCATGTGACTGGCCGTTATTTCGATCCCTGATTGTAAACAAATGTAGTGTCTTGTCATTGAAAGACTGAGGGTTTTTTCTTGGTGTTGCTTTCAGCTAATAGACATGGGATTCACTAGAGCACAGGCAAGACATGCATTACTGAGTACCAGTAGTCTGGAGCAAGCAACAGAGTATATCTTAAGCCATCCATACCCTGTGCAAGGAGAATCCATAGCAGTGAGTATAGCAATGCTCTTTATGACTTTTTCTCATTAGTCCTCCTAGCAACAGACTTCTGAACCTTCACTTCTTCATTGTGGGATTATTTTGTAGAGAAACAAAAAAAATCTGCCATGTTCTGCACCAAATATATCGTGCATTGTATATACGGCGCATTATATAGAAGCTTTAGAGGTCTATTATCTGTCATTTACCTAAAAAACTCTTTAACTATAACCTTTTTTTTATTTTTATTTTTTGTACATAGGATAATAATCAAGTTCGTGATATTTTGGGATTTGATTTTGAAATGTCTGAAGAGGACCAGATGATGAGAGCCATAGCATTATCTCTAGGGCAAGACATATCACCAATGTCTGTTGATCAGGTAACTATGGAAACATTTCCTCTATCAGCAGCATCCCACTGTAAAAACACTTGCATCAGGATATCGCAATGATATGGAGTTGCCTGATAAAAAGTCTGCTTCTGAAGCACTTTTTATGCATCAAAATACATTAGTGTACATGTATAGACCAAATTTTAAAGTGTCTATGACGCCTAAAGGCTGATTTACACGGCACGATTGTCTCGTGCGATTTGTAGTATACGACTTGAATCGCGCAGTGTAAATGCCCCTACGACTTGTCTACAACAGTCGTACGCAACCTACGACTTGTAGTAGGACTATGAACCACTGCTACGACTTGTCATAGGAAAATCGTATACTACAAGTCGCGCGCGACAGATCGTACCGTGTAATTCAGCCTTAACAAGAACATTTCTGATTCTGCTTCAAAGTTCGTATATCTAATGAAGCCTACCTTGACTTCATTATCATTAGCATATTGGAAGATTAAACCTTCAAAACTCAAAGATGCAACACTGAAACGAAACTGAAATGCAGAAATATTTCAGCATTCAATTATTTACTTTCTATAGAATCAGCTCACAGAGAATCAGAATTTTTTTTGTCAGGCGTCATAGGTACTTTAAAATGGCACAATAAACACATTTTACCAACTAGTACAACGTTTCTTGATTTGTTGTATAAGATGAGTAACATGTAAGGCTATTATGTAGTGTTGGGGCCTATTTTATGATACTTTGGCCATAGTTAAACGTTGTGTCTTGATGTTTTCTATGTATTTGTAATATTTTGCTGTTTATAAAGTTCTTAAATTTCATTCAGAGCATTGATTTTTTTATTATCAATTCCCTACAGCCAACAGCTTCAGGCTCGTCTGCTGCTCCTACTGACAAGAAACCAGACAAACCAGAACAAACACATCCATCTGAAGATGAAACCCAACTGTCTAAGGACGTCCTTGATGAATTCACCCATAAGATATTCTCAGGCTGTCAAAAACTACTGGAGGATCTCCCTGATACAGTTTACAAGGCCTGTAAGCTCTTAGCTGCTGTTGCTAAGCGTAATGGAGCCGAGTGGAGAGACACTGTTCTTGCAGAGGTCATGGAGCAGGTACATTTGTACATACTTAGCAGTGTGCACCATTTTGCTTTGAGGCCCTCGTGCGGCCATTTTCAGTTTACCGAAAGTCTATAAATTGTACTGTGCGTTTTTAATCTTTGACCATCTCACTTTCTTAAGCACTTTAAACGATGCTATTAGAGTTTTCAACCATCTTATTTTGTTTTGTGGTGATATTTGGATACTAGAAGTATTTTGGTGTAAATCATAACAATAACAGAGGCTCGCAAAGCATAATGGTGCAAACTGGGCCTTTAAATCACCCTTTTAGCTATATTTGATAATGTGTGGGTGCATTGACTACAGTCAAATCTGCACTTGCAGACATTGTCATAAATCGACAACCGTAGTTAAAGTGCCTATGACGCCTGCCAAAAAGATTTCTGATTCTCTGTGAGCTGATTCTATTTAAAAGAAATAATTGAATGGTGAAGTATTTCTGCATTTCAGTGTTGCGTCTTTAAGTTATGAAGGTTCAATGTTAATGAAAATGACGTCAAAGAAGGCTTCATTAGATATATACGAACTTTGAAGGAGTCGCTTAAAAATGGTTTCATGGACTTAAATTTATCGTATGCAATTTTTACGCGACTGTTTCAAAGTTCGTATATCTAATGAAACCTCCCTTGACGTCGTTGTCCTTAGCATATTGTAAGATTAAACCTTCAAAACTCAAAGACGCAACACTGAAGAAATATGCAGAAGTATTTCACCATTCAGTTATTTACTTCATATAGAATCAGCTCACAGAGAATTTCAGAAATTATTTTGTCAGGCGTCATAGACACTTTAAGAACAGCTCTCAAAACCCGTTTTTCTTCTGCTGTGGAATAAGTCCAGTTTCGAATTCAAAGCGAATAACCGCTGTTTTACTTGACAGCAGATTCTCTTTCGCAAAGAACTTACCAATGTACAATAGCGCTAATAATTTACATTTTCCCTGAGTTGAGGCTAACCCTGTATTCCCAGAAGGCTCATACCTTAGGTCTCATGGGAATACAGTCTCAGTTCGGGGAAAATGCAAATGTTGAAGTCTATTGTAATAACGACATTTTCTCTTGCTCTCTTTTGTGTTTGTAAGGTCTTTGCGCAAGCGATTCTTTTGTCAAATAAAGCAGCGGATTTGCGCTATGAACTCGAAACTGGAGTATTTTTCTCCTATGCTGTTAACTATCATTGATTGTTGTAGGTTGGAAAAGATACTTTAACAGTGATTAAGGCATGTAGTCCAGAAAACAACATGGATAAGTACATTGAAGAGTTTGTCCCTCAGATGTGCACCATGACAGAAGCTGCCAGATTGTCGTCTTTACTGCATCTTCTTTGTCTCATGTTTGAGGTTGGTTACTCTCATATTTACAGTTGAACCTCTATTAAGCGATCTGTCCAGGGAAAACCAGGGGAACGTTCATTAGAGGTTGACCGTTTAATAGAGGGCAAGTTTGCAAAAAATATATATAACAGCCGATTTTCGGGAAACCGCTTATGTACGCTAAATAGATCATGCTGAACTGTAGACACGGCATTTGCTTTTAAGTGTTTAATATAGTACTTTTCTTGGCATTTTCCAGGAAATGAAGGTACCATGCGCAGTGTTGCTGGAAAAGTACAAAACTGTCCATTCTTTGATGGATTTAATGGAGCTATGTCAAGTTAGTCTTCTACAGCTGAGTAGAACTGTAGCAGAGCCCACAACACCCAAGTGAGTAGAATGTTAAAGTGCTGATATGAAAAACGTATGATATACATACTGTAGTGGTTACTCTGAATAAGAAATAATAATTGCTAATAAAAAATCTGAAAGTTTGTCAGTGTTTTACAAAGTGTACGCATTGTAGGTATCTCCAGAACATATTTTTATGATGTTCCTGGTCGTTAAACCAATGCAACAGTAAACTGTCTGTTGTTCAGCATCGTTGGGTGTGGCTCCCTCTCAGGACCACACCCTGGACTTTCAGACTACAAACACCTACTTGCGAAAACGTTGTCATAAAAATAGGACATTTGTATTTAGTAAAAAGGAATAAATTAAAAACGACAAAGGAAGATCACTGAAACTAGACGCTTTCTTTTGTCTTGTTTTAATTCATTCCTTTTTACTAAATTCAAATGTTCTATTATTTATGACAACGTTTCTGCAAGTAGGTGTATATATTACACATAAAGTGAATGACTTTCACTAGCAACACGTTTTTGTGCTTGACCATCATTTTGGCAATATAGAACTCCAGGTTTCCAAGGACTAATATGTGTTTCACGAATTTAGTGTGTCCACTGTGTTAATGATTGTTATGATGATATTTAGGATGATAACATATTTGCTTAGGATTAATAATTCCAAGSAAYAACATTTGTTTCACGGATTTAGTGCGCACTGTATTGMCTACTATAATTATATTGATATTTCTTTTTTAGATGGCTTTGCCCTTTGCTCCTTTTACTGGATTTATATGAAAAGACAGCTTTATCTTCAGAAAGGAAAAAACTTCATGACAAGGTATATACTCATTATCAAGTAACAATTTATTAAAAAAGAGAAAAAACACTTATCATTACAATGTACGTAACGGATTTATTTTCCTACATGCAGTTAACTACACGAGTGTGGAGGTGGTTTGATGACCGAAGTGGCCGATGGTATGCCTACAGTGCCACCAATAATGAGACAATAGATGCAGCTTATCGAAGTGGTGAAACACGAACAAGGTTTATGGCTGGCCGAAGGCATTACAATGTTAACTTTGCYAAGATGCTTCAGGTAAGAGTGAACTAACAAAAAGAACATGCACAAGAATATTAAAGGCCCACGTTCACCCAAGAGCCTTTGCGCGATTTTTTGAGTGAATGAATATTGATTTTCGATCATTCACTGAATGATTACAGTCAAAAGACATGAAGCGCGCCCCCCGAATAGCTCGTTATTCAATGCATTATTGGATTTTTCATTTTATTTTTCGTTTTCAAACTTCAGTTGATTAATGGAAAATTAAATTCAAATTTCGAACTCTTAGGATAATGACATAAAACAACACAGCATTTCCAGCTTTTTGAGGCATTCACGAGAAKGAACTGATCCAACTAAATTAACAGACAGCATATTGCAATGCATCGACTTGTGGGAATTACAAAAGACCAGCATTTTTACAAGCGAAATATGAAGAAGACTTTATGAAAATCCGATCAATAATCCAATCAAATTTCGAAGTTTGAATTCAAATTTGATTTCAATAATGTAATGTTGAATCGACCAAGAATCGAATAATGAATTGAATAATGGTGTTTGGAGGGGGCGCGCTTCATTTCTTTTGACTGTGATTGGATGAATGATTTTATTTGATGAGTAATGTATTGGTAGATTTTCTTGCTAACCATATCTTTCATTTTTGTATCGCTAGATCAATGAAGATACTGGAAGCTGCCGTCCCATCATGCTTGGCAGCACTTAYGAATCGCCCCCTTTAGGMGGCAGCAACAGACAGAACCAGCAATCCGCAGGYGAAGGAGAGGCAGCTAAGAAASCAAATTCTAAGAAAGAAAAGGCTAAAGAGGAAAAGAAAGGTAAATACTTTAAATAATGCTTTTAAAGTCTTACATATTAAAATCGTTTTTAAGAATTTCAATGCTATAAATYTGTGATTTTGCCGGTTTTTAGTGAAYTGGAAATTCTAAGGCTAATGGAATAATTCTTTTTRCAGAAGCAGCTAAGACGCYACCAGAAGCTGAWGTAGTTGCTGTACAGTGCCTAACAGATACKCAAAAATCAACCATTATCAGGTGGGTTAAGCCTCAGGCAAAMGTTTTTCTAGTCAACTCTTTTATTATACATTTAYGAAAAAAAWCATGTGTATTTGTTTCCGTTTGTTTATGCATCAAAGTATTTCATTTTATTTGCGTATTTATGTCTTACCGTTGTTATTTYAGATGCTGTTCAATTCTYATTAGCATCCCTGTTACSCACAATGCTTTACACGCTGCTCTAAGACTTTGTCTTCGGATAACACAAGACCACAARTTTGCTGTSCAGTTCGTAAACCAAGGCGGCCACAAAGCAATCATCGGTCTGACRCAGAAGTCYTCTTTTCCTGGATTTCCSTCCATCACAACACTWCTMCTYCATCAYGTMCTCGAAGACCCTGCTAATTTACAGCATACAATAGAGAAAGTCGTGCGGTCAGTCGCTGTGAACGGTGTTAATAACGCTGCCACTGGAGTAAGCTCAAACTCTGTTGGCGCCAAGGAGATCAACTACGTTCTACGCCTCCTAGGACCTGCTGCCAGTAGAAATCCAAAGCTGTTCCGAGAAGCTGCTGTTAAAGTTTTAAAATATGCCATWACACCTCAGCTCAGGAGAATCCTCATCGAAGGTGCTGATGCMTTTTTGCCTTCCAATCATGCACAGTTGGTTGCTGTTTTGCCCTCGCCAAAGCCATCAAAGTTCCCGCCACTTTGTCACTCCGTCCGAGAAGTAGTGTGTGATTTGTTGAATGCTTTATGTKCGCCCGATGATGCCTTGTTGAGAGCTGGTGGTCGTTTAGGGTCGATTTGTGTGCGMCGGTCGGATAGTCAGATGCTAGGGGAACTGGGACGAGCTCTTGGTCAACTTGGGGATATGATTGACAGGTTTAGTACGAACCCGCGGGAAAATACGTTGAGTCCAGGTCATCCGTCTTATGGGCGGCAAATAACCAGTGAAGATAATGCTGTCGATGATGACGAACCTGCAATAGGTACGATATGTATGAATATAGACGTTTCTCGAGATGCGCAGGCATTAGTACAAATTAACCCAGACGCGCACATGAAAGCGAGGTAGTTTTGGCATTGTTCGACTTGTTTATTTGCTAGAAAATACTTAAAAAATCTTTCTCATTAGAAGAAGTGGTTTATTCTTGATACCCAGAACATCCTCAATTCATTTTCTCCCTGGGCACAAACTCCCTCAGAACTGCTAGGAACGCCTGGCCATAAATACAATTCAATAGCTTATCAACGAAATGCAAACAAATTCAGGACCTAAGATGTGTTTTACGGTAAATTTCTTATTGAGAAAACTCGGCGTTTAATATTGTGTTTTTGCTCTGAAACAGACTCTTCTCAGCCTCCTTCACATGATGTCTCTACGTCKAATTTCCGTGAACTCAAAGAAAGAGAAAAAGCGCAGGAAAACACCGAAGAAAGTGCAAAGAAAGACAGTAAGGAAAAGGAAGCCCTCAAACCATTGTTGACCAAGTCTGCCATACTTAAGATCCTTGCGGAACTTGTCAAGACGTATGGTGGTGTGGCCCAGTTGATYACAGAATATACGTACTCTGCTCGTGTAGCACAGGGAGAAAAACAAGTAAGAAAAAAAAGGATTATTAAAGAA